TGTAGATTGATGGCGAAATGTGGATAGGTTGCTGTGGGTTGTAGATGAAATTGTAGAGCCATGATAGGATGATGCCAGGAAATTGAGTAGTTGAATTCATCTGTCATCCCAAAAAGTCATTTAAAGATCAAGTAAGCTAGAAGGATAACTTCTACAACTACAATTACAAAAATGTAGTTAATGCCTTTGTCAAAGGCCTAAGTATGCTGTGGGCAAAACAAAGAAGACCTGAATGAAGGTTTTTGAATAATATATGGTGGGTGAAGTATATGTGATTTGTTACATTTTTGGTCTTCATAGACAAGGTATGAAATAGGATGCAGGAAATAGTGAGATGGATTGAGAATGTTTAAAAATGTTGATGTGGCACAAGTTTTTAGGTCAATTTATCAGCTAGATCCATGTGATTTAGTGTACCTCTTTGTACAGCCACATGCTTAGACTGGACTAAGTAGGCCTCTTTTGACACTAAGGTGACATTCAAATTCTACATCTTTCCATCTGTGTTAATGCACAGCATGCCTCAGTCTTCTCCCAGCTCCTTTCCTTGTTTAAATTCTTAACCATGTTTTTGCTACATTTTGGCTTAAATGTTGCAATAACTTTTCTCTGATATTTCCATTCTTTCTGGCCACAAACTCTATAATTCAGCTGCTTATATCTGGTCCTGTTGTCCTATAACTTTGTGTTGAATGGCAGGTATATTATAGTCCATTTTGGTGTGCAATGGCATTGAACAATGTGGAGACAAGTGGATCCACTTTAATTATCAAGGTTCACAAACTGCTGAAAAGGGCTATCAGGATGGTATAGATGAGCTAATAGATTGCTGGTTCAACAAGGCACCAAGGGAAACTGGATATACTGGACTGAACTAGGGATATTGATTCAGAGAAACAAGTTTTGGAATATGACTGGTTTGTTAAATTAGAACTGTCAAAGATATTGCATCAAGAATTGATTGCAAGTCATCAAATTTATCATACTGCTGTTGTCAGTTGGATTTAATAATTCACATAATTTGTTACTTAACTAACCATATAGTTAATTTTCTTTATAAATTAGTGGGTTGATCATAACAGTAGTATTGTGTCAATTGACCAAGCAATCAATTATTTTTAAATTATTTTCTAATCTCCGAATAAACTGTTGTAAATTAAGTATGCTTAATTATACTTCTGGAACTACTAGCAATTGATTAAAATGTTAACTACCTCACCAGAGCTCTGGGGGAGTGAGACCAAAAAAAACAATGTGACAGCAGAAGTTTAGGGTTGAACATTTATTGATAAAGTCAATTCAAGCAGAGACTGAAGGTAATTCCGAATAGCTTGTTATTGGTCCAGAACTCTCTACTTTCTCGCCGCATGCTTTTGCTTTAGCTGCTGAAAATGCAAATGGTAATGGCATGGTGAGGTTGGTGAGGCATCTAGTACCTCATGAACATCAGATTCAATGGTTTACCCTTAACCATTGAAATTATATTTGTGCTCTCAAAGTTTAAAAAAAAAGTACTATGCTTGACATATGAGTAAGGAAAATAACGGTCTGAAGTGTTACGCAGGTCTTCTCTAACTTGCATGAGTAATATTTTTCAGAAGGTAAAAGTTACCTTGCTGTCGATTGACCAACCTGGTGAGATGCTGCAATGCACTGATTGCCTAACTGTCTTATAATTAGTAAACTGTTAGGTTTTTTCAGCCAAGCACAGTTGACAGTGTCCTAGTTTTTGAGGTAGGAGTTCATAGATATAAGTCCTAATCCAAGACTTGAGCACACAAATTAAGGCTGATATTCCAGTACACTAAGGGAGTGCTGTGTTGTCAGGGCTGCTATCTTTTGGATGAGATTTTAAACATGGACTCCACCTGTTTTGGACCCCATGACAATATTTTGAAGATGAGGAGAGTCATCTCTAGTACCCTGATCAATATTTATTTCTCATTCAATATTATAAAAAAACTGATCATCAGCTCATTGACTCATTGCTGTTGTGGGAACTTTGTGTGCACAATCGGCTGCTGCATCTCCTTGCAGTGGTATCTACACTTAAGAAGGACCTCATCGGCTGTAAAATGCTTTGTCACTTCTGTGGTGCTGTAAGGTAATATATAAATGCAAGTCTTTTCCCTTTAACAAGTAGTAGGGAATAAAGGCCTACTGAGAGTGAGGAACTTAAAGCAATTAATAAAGAAAACGTACAGAAAACATTAACGTGAGCAGCTGATAAATTCCCTGGATTTGGTGACTTCCATCCATTATTTGTATATAAAGCTTCATGATGCATTAGCAGGCTAATTGACAGTGAGGGAGCATGTGTATATCCCGATTAACCTGATTTTCATTCTTAGGCTGGGTCTAGTAATTTGAATCAGACTGACCCAGCTGCTACCTTAAACCAGCACAGATTTGGAGATCATCTCTGGACCTATGCCTGACAGCTTCCTGGTTTACATGGATTTGTTGTAAATTTGCATAAACTTTGCATGGAAAATATTTACTGTTGCATCTTACTTAGGAAAAGGTTAGTAAGATGTAGTCTAGTGAGAGTGCAGAGCAAATTTACAAGAATGATACCAGAACTGGATTGTCAGGCTAACGGGTGATCTATTAAACATCCTTAGAATTATGAAGGATTTTGATAAAATGGATACCGAGAAGATGTTTTCTCTGTGCGGAGGAAATAATTAGAGGCCTTTCGTACAAGAGATGCTGTAAAGAATTTAGAAGAATTTTTACCTAGAGTTGTAAAAATGTGGAACTCACGACTACAAGTAGAGGTTGAAGCACATAGTATGGATGCATTTAAGGGAAAGCAACACAACATACAAGGGAGAAGGATTACAATTATAGAATGAGATAAAGAAATGATGGAATGAGACTAGAGTGGAGAATAAACACCATGATGGAGTGGTTTGGTCAAATGACTTTTTTTTGTACTGTGTATTCCTATGTAATGTTCACTCACCTGTGTACTTTGAAGCAAGTTCACAATGCTCATTAAGTGTAGAAAAATTATGATGTGAGCACTTTAGACTCAACGATCCAATGAAAAAGTTAGTCATAGAAGCTCTAGGGGCATGGTTTCAAATCCCACTATGGATTTGAATTCATTCAATAAATATATAATTTATAGCTAGTGTCAGTAATAGTGGCCATGAAACGATCATTGATTGTTGTAGAACCCCATCTGGTTCACTAATATTCTTTAGGGAGGAAAATCTACCATCCTTACTTGGTATGGCCTACTTGTGATTTCAAACCCACAGTAATGTGGTTGACTCTTAACTGCCTATGAAGTCATTTCATTCAAGGGCAGTTAGGGAAGGTAACAAATGCATGCTTTGCCAGCAACATAAAGAAAATCAAATTGCTGTGGATGCATATCAGAGTACAACATTAAGTGGTAGAAATAGTGTGATTCTGTGCATCAGCATTTTCACAACATTTCTGCCATCAATACCTTTTAAATTATTTTTTTGATAACTTGACAACCAGTGACTTAATGTATGAAATGGAATTGAAGAAAACCCAACAGTTAATTTGAACACAGCAAAGTACTGAAGCAGTAATAATATGAATGGCCAATTGATCTGTTATTTTTCTTTGCATGGTGTAGATTATGGAAGCAAGTTTTGCTTGGATTTCAAGAGAACTCTTGTTTCTTTTCCAATAGTACTGTCCAAGAGATGGATCATTTGATATTTCTCCTGGCAACTCTGAAAAATGTGGCTCCTCAGGACTGCATTGAACTGTTAGCCTATATTGTTTACTCAAATCGAAGCACTGGTCAAGATTGTATAATGCAGAGGTGTTACCAGCTGTTTTTAAGCTGTACTGCATCTAAAGTAAAGAGAAAACTGTGAAAATGTACAAGTTGATCAGCTCTTGTAAATCAAAAATGTGAGCTATAATAGTTATCTCCTAAGGCTGTGTATTTCTAGTATTTTCTATCTTTATCTTGGTTTTTTTAGCATTTGCTGCTTTGTATTTTTACACAGCTGACTTACAATCAACCACATTATTGTTTAACCTGAGTTGACTTGTGTAAGTTTAGTAAGCTACGATTGAAAATTCACTTGATAATGACGGAAGAGAGTTGAATGCTATACTTAATTACCGACTTCACTGTTCAAAGCAAAAACTGAGGATGGGGATCGTGGGTGGGAGGAAAATAAGTGTCTTATCGTTTCTTAAAAAAACATTACTAGCACTTCTGTGTACTGTGTAGCCTCTGAACATTGCCATTAGTAACTTTGCAGTACAGCTAAATCCCCAATTGTTTATAATAGGAAATGCTTATATTGTGGGTCTGGCAAGAGAAGGAAGTAAGTTGTTGCCTGGATTATCAGAATGGAGCGATGTCAAGGTTTTGAACCTGTCACATTGATTTGCTGTTCAGTTTCTGGACTGGTAAACTATTATTTTCAGTATTAACTTCATATCTATACTTCCTTTTGTTCACTTTACTTTATCTTCGTACATTTTTTTTCAGTGGTTTTCTCCCTTGGGTTTTCATGTCCTCAGCTGTGTATACTTTTTTTTTCTTCATAGCTTTGTGATCTCACTGATCTCTCTATGAAGAAGTTACAGGCCTCTCATTATGGTTCCTGTTGTCATTCTGGTTGTCTATCTCCCCTCTTTTATTCTTTCTTTCTAACCTTCCTAAAGTACTTAATTTTTTTTTAGGCTTCAATTTTGATATCGAGACACGTCATAGCCTGCCTTTTTCAGATGTTGACTGACCACTTACTAGATATATTTATTCAACCTTTTATGCTTTAATTTTAGAGTTCTAGTATTGCAATTTTATTTATTTATACAATTTGAAATAAATTGTAGTGCACTCTTACTTGACTGTATTGATATAAAGAATAAAAATTGTGTTTCTGGCCTGCACCATTTTAAGCAGTGTAATAACCCTCCACATTTTACCTTTTCTGCCAGGGTTGAACAGTAGCTATTCAATTGTGATGAATTGTGTTTTTTTTTGCTTCTAGACATCATGGCAAGTCCAAGAACTAGACGGGTTCTCAAAGAAGTGAGGACTCAAGATGAAAACAATGTATGTAACTGTAAGAAAATGTTAAGAGAACTTGCTGTAAAATTCAATCTGAATTCATGAAAAGATGCATGTTTCAAAAGTCTATGCAGAGCTAAGCCTTTTATTTTGCACTTTCACATATCAACTGAGATTTGTTGAAAAGGAAATATTAAAAATTTCAAAAGCAACAACTTAAAATTAGGCAATGGATACTATTTGTATATATTTATAAACAATTTTACAATCTCATCTATTTTCTATTCCGCCATTTAATAAAATTTTACTGACTAAACTTGTTGGAGACAGATACAATTTTGGAAATTTAACTATTGTACTATAATTAAGGAAAATATACACGTGAAAGGTATTTATCTGTTATAGTCAAAAGCTGCAATTATACATTAAAACACTTCCATGGAAATGAGTCCATTTACCAAAATTTATTTAAAATAATTTTGAAAATAGCTGAGAGTTAGAGTTGTACAGCACAGAAACAGACCCTTAGGTCCAAGTCGTCCATGCTGACCAGATATCCTAAATTAAATATAGCCTCATCTGCCACCATCTGGCCCATCTTCCAAACTCTTCCTAATCGTGCGCCAATCCAGATGCCTTTTAAATGTTGTAATTGTACCAGCCTCCATCACTTCTGGCAGTTCGATCCATACAAACACCACTCTTTGCATGAAAAAGTTGCCCCTCGGGTCCTTTTTAAATCTTTCCCTGTCACCTAAAACCTATGCCGTCAACTTTTGGACTCTCTTCTCATAGGAAAAAGACCTTGGCTAATCACCCTATCCATGCCCCTCATGATTTTATAAATCTCTATAACGTCACCCCTCAGCCTCCAAAGCTTCAGGAAAAACAGCCCCAGCCTATTCAGTCTGTCCCTATTGCCGAAACCTTCCACCTCCGGCAACATCCTTGTAAATCTTTTCTGAACCCGTTCAAGTTTCACAACATCTTCCCTATAGTAGGGAGACCAAAATTCAATGCAGTATTCCAAAAGTGGCCTAATCAATATCCTGTACAGCCATAACATGACATCTCAGCTCCTATACTCAATGCACTGACCAATAAAGGCAAGTGTACCAAATGCCTTCTGCGACCCCATTTTCAAGGAGCTATGAGCCTGCATTCCAAGGTTGCTGTAATTAGCAATGAGTTCTCTGTTTTTAATCTAGTGCAAAATCTTGTTTGTTTAAGTTCAGGGTCATTCATGAAGCAATTGAATAAGTCATTTTCCATATTTGAATTACATAGTTTTCTTTAAAAAGACATCAGTGCTCTATTATAGAACGACACGGCACAGAAGGAGCCCATTCAAGTTGCAATCCAGTTTGTCCCACTCCTTGGCTTTTTCACCATATCCCTGCAATTTGTTTTCCAAGTATTTGCACATGTTCTCTTTAAAAGCTGTTGAATCTTTTCTGAACCCTTTCAAGTTTAATGACTAAGAGCAAGGAAGTTTTGCTATAATTGCGTAGAACTTTGGTGACCTCACACTTCGAGTACTGTGTGCAGTTTATGTCTCCATATTGAAGGAAAAATATATTTCATTAGAGGCGGTATGGTAAAGGTTCAACAGAATGAGGTAAGAGTTAGAGTAAATTGGCCTTTTGTTCTTTGGATTTAAGAAGGAAAAATGATCTCATTAGAACATAAAATATTTTGAAGTGGCTTAACAGGGTATATACAGGAATGATGTTTCCCCTGGTTGGGGCATCTAGGGCACAGTTCAGGATAAGTGGTCAGTAATTTCCAACTGAGATAAAGAGAGATTTTTTTTCACTTGGACAGTTGTGAACCTTGGGAATTATCTAGATGAGAAGGTTATGGATGTTCCATTATATTTTCCTACAATATATTCCTACATTTCAGGCTAAGACAAACAGATCTCTAACCTCTCAAGGAAAGTGGAAACAGGCAGAACAACGTTTTAACTAGAAGAATAGGTTCAAGTAGGGTCATTGGAACTACTGCTGCTCACTTTTATTATTTATGTGCTCCCATCACCTTTTGGTGCATTGTGAATTTCAATGACTTGTTATGCAAAACAATTTTTTTTGTCATCTTTGATTATTTTGCCAGTTGTCTTAAATCTGTACCCTCTTGTTATTGACCCTTCAGCCATTGGAAACAAGTTTGCTTTATTTACCCTATATAAACTCTTAAAGAATTTAAACACCTCTATCAAATCTCCTCTCGACTTTCTTAGATTCAAGGCTTTTTCAGTCTTGGTAATTTGAATCCTCACCTGTCTAATGGTTCTAATAAATCTCTTCTGTACCCCGTGTAAAGTCTTCACGTCCTAACATATGGTACACAATGTTGAAAACCTAGTGACATCAAATAAGCGTCATATATAGATTTAACATTATTTCCAGGCTCCCTGTTCCTCCGATTATAAAGTTCAGTTGCTGGTTTATTATTTATGCTGCTGATGCATGGGGTTTTAACAAGTCAATTTTAATCCATGTTAATATGGATATTTGTGATTTTTGTACAGATTCCACATAAATGCCTGAAGAAATCAAAGAGATGGTCTTCGGTGAAGGAATATACTTTGATTTGTGTAATGTTTTGTACAATGTCTCCTTCTGTCTCCTAGGTTTGTTTTGAATGTGGAGCTTTCAATCCACAATGGGTCAGTGTGACTTATGGAATATGGATTTGCCTTGAGTGCTCAGGAAAGCACAGAGGTCTAGGAGTACATCTCAGGTATAAGCATGGATTAAAAAAGAAAACCTAATTGCAATACGGAAGTTAAATATTGCTTCAAAATTATTAAACTTCCTCTGTTACAGCATTGTGGGATACATACCCCATCCCTTGTCTAGGGCAGTTAGACATGAGCCAGCAATGGCTACATCCTGAAAGACTATCTAAAGAAAATGTTCCTCAGTTGATGTGTGTGTTGAAATGTTAAGCCATGCAGGCGATTGCAGTGCTGCTTGATCTTATTGTCCTTGATTGAGACACTGGAAAAGCAGGTCCCTGGTTCCAATACCAGTGTCAGTCCTATTTCATTTTGAAATAGTCTACCTAGTTGGGAAGTCGGCTGCCAAGTCAAGAATCGTGTCACAATGGCTGCTTTACGGAGGCACCGTAATGTGACTGAATTATTCCCTAGCATGCATTTAATATATTCAGAACAGAGAAGGCACTATTACTGAATAAATATAGTATTATGGCATACTAATATTGTCAATGTTGATTTGGTGAAGCAGGTTTTAACTTTTTTGTTTGTTTAATAAAAAAGTTAGGAATGAAACTCTTTATTATGGGGTCCCAGTGTTTTCCTATTAAGCACTCCAGATCAAGTATATCTTAACCATGGCATTGTATTCTACTCTAATAACACCAAAAACACACTAAACCCCAATATCTATCAACCTAAGTGAGATTGCCAAATGGTACTGAATAGTATGGTTTACTTTAGATTCATGTTCACCAGCAAATGGATTGGAGCTGTCCAGACTTGTTTCACAAAAAAAAATCATGAGAGTGGAACTTTACCTTGTGTTGAATTTAAAGCAGTTGTCAGAAGTGAAGGACCTATGTGTGCCCCTATTTACCTTTATCTGCCACACTACCCTGCAGTTGTTTATTAGGGATCAGTACTACATTGAAATTGCATTTATTTGGAAGATGTACGCTTTGCTAAAAATGGGAATTCATATAATAAGCAATTGAGCCCAATTTGGATATGTTATTTGCATCATTAGGAAAACAAACTTTGCATTAATCTAGTATTTTTTAAAAATGGTTTATTTGGTCTCATGTTTTAATGTTTCTAGTGAAAATAATTTAACACCTTAGAAGAATGAGGGGTGATCTCATAGAAATCTATAAAATTCTGACTTGACTACACACGTTAGATGAAGGAATGATTTTCCCGATGGTAGGGAGGCAGGCGTCACAGTTCAAGGATAAGAGGTAAACCTTTTAGGGCTGAGATGAGGAGAAATTTCTTCACCTAAACAATGGTGAGCCTGTGAAATTCACTACCTCAAAGTAGTTAAGGCCAAAACATTGTGTTTTCAAGAAGGAGGTATACGTAACTGTTGTGGTTGAAGGAATCAAGAGAATTGGGGGGAGGATAGGATTAGGGTATTGAGCTTGATGATCAGCCATGAACATGTTGAATGGCTGAGCAGGCTCAGGCATCATATGGCCTACCCCAGCGCCTTTCTGCAATGTTTCTTTGTTTCTACAATATAAAGCTCAAATGTATTATATATGTTAAAATCCTGGTTATTCAGATTGTGAGAAGTTAGTGGTTTCTCTCAACAAATGTTTGTGCTTTGCTCAATATATAAGGCTAGTCTTTTTCATAAAGCTTTGAGAAATGAAATTACATTTAAAAGGTAAAATAAAATACATTGCTACTGTCCTCTAGTTTTGTACGATCTGTTACCATGGATAAATGGAAAGATTTGGAGTTGGAGAAAATGAAGGTTGGAGGCAATGCAAAATTCCACCAGTTTCTGGAATCACAAGATTATGATCCATGTTGGTCACTCCAGGAGAAATATAATAGTCGCACTGCAGCTCTTTACAGAGATAAGGTATTATAATTGATACTATAATGTAGAATATATTTAGTGGTCATAAATTGTGGAGATAGAGCCAGTCTGATATTTTTTGTTCAAGTAAAATTGACTTCATTAGGCATGGCTTCCAAAAATTTAAATGTACAATCTTTTCAAGCAGAACTGTTACTCAGCTTTATTACTTCATTGCTTTGATACTTTCAATATTCAGATGAAAGTCTAACGTTTCCCTAATTTGATTCTAGCTGCTGCTAGTTGCTTGATGCAGGATATTTCTAAAATATCAAAACCTTCAAAAAGTAGGTTTGTTAAAGCTCCCCTCTTAACATACATTTGGTTATCTTTAGTTTATTGCTTAGTTGCCATACAACAAGTGATCATAGTATCTATGGTAGATAAGTGTGATGTATCATGGCCCCCAATATTTGTACTAAAATATATTTAAAAGCATAAATTGTTCTTCATTATGTTTGTTACTAGTTAATGGTGATTGTCCATAACAAGTTTTTATGTACGGTCGTCTAAAATTTGCTCCACAGATGTGTGCTAATGAGTTGCTTACTTTCTGAAAAGTACATGTGCTGCTCCTCTATACCTCCTTTGGAAGAATTAAAAACCTGCTTTAAACTTCTAAGTATTAACAGAGCTCTCGAGAAATAAATGCAGTCTTTGAGTTAGAATGTTTTAGGTCCCACCTCCATTCATGGATATGAGAGAGTGCATCTTTGCCAAAAATGTTGTCCTTTGGACAAGGCATTAAACCAAGGTCACAACTTCCTGACCAGTGTTCCACTTGGACTTTCAAGATCCCAAAGCACTATCTGAAAAGAGAAATTGTCACTCTTTTTTTGATTAATGCCTGTTGAAATGCTATGAGGAAAATCACTGTGATGAAAAAAAAGATTAATCTAATCTATCCAAAGGTTCACAAAGCATCCATTGTTGTTACCTAAGCCTGGGGCAACCTGATTTTAAGCAGAATGTTTGTCTAATTTTGAAGAAAACCTATGGATAGAAAACTTTTGAATATTAATCACTACCTGTCATTTCTGCTGCTTGTCTGTTTTCCATCCCTCCCCACCTTCTGAAGATGTTGGTTCCTTCTTGGGTAATGTTTCGGGGGTAATATTATTCTTAGAGAATTTTCCAGAGGAGTTTCTGTTATGTGTCAATACTGTGTTGGCCATCCATTTGATTGGATGCTGATTTTAACCTTTGAATACTGTCAGCATGTACACACTTCCAACTAGGGGTACTGCATTATGTTCAGAAGTGGAAGGCCTTCTTAATTATTTACATTTATCTAACCTAAGAGCAATAGTTCAGTTTCATAGAAACCCAACTAATCTGACTGAGACTAACCACTTAACAGACTGGGAATTGAAATTGAATTGTTCCAATAGGCATGTTTTTAATTATTCAGACTAAATTAGTTGTGCTGTTATGGGAGCTTTAGCTGGGCCATCTGAATGGATAACATCAAATGAAGTGCTGAAATTGGGAGACCAGTTTGGGTAGTTTGATTTATAATGTTCTATGTCATGATAGAGGAAAGAAAACAACTTGTATTTGCATATAGCCCCTTTAAAATAGTAAACATATCAAGACAATTCATAGAAATGGAAAATAGAGGCAGTAATCTGGTTCAATAAATGCTTGTGTATTAACATTCTAAACATTTGCTCACCAATGTCTCCTGGTACCCATTGACAGCTTGTTTAGAGTTGCCTTCCTTCAGCATGTTGTCAGTCGAGTACTATAATGAATATATTGTCATTATGAATATCGAAGATGTGTAAGTCCTTGAAGAAATAATTATGTTCACATTCAGTAATGCAAAATGATCTACAGTTTTGGTTAAGATGAACGCCTTGGCCTGCTTATTAATAATTAACAAACAAACAAGAATTAATTTTTAATCAGTTTAGAAAGTAGCTACTACTATAAATTTCCCATAATTCCATCTAAAAAAAAAAGCAAACTTCTAAGGGAAGTGTTTAAAAACAATGTCTTTGCATCATTTCTGTTGTCTCATCTTAGATATGTTCTGTTACTTTGAGCAAATAGTGTTGGGTTTCATCATACATTTTTAACTTGTTTCTTGGTAACCACATTGTTAATGATGCAGAAACAATGTACACATTCATATTCACATCTTTTTTAAAAAAAACAAAAAACTCTAGATCCATAATATATTATGAAATTATGTTTTTAAAAAGGTTGCAAGCTGTCCCATCTGTCATTCTGAGAGGCAACATTACATGCACTTGTTTTTCTTATCGATTTTCAGATTGCTACTTTAGCTGAAGGTAGAGAATGGTCTATTGAAACGTCAGAAGCTCGGAATTGGACCCCACTGCAGCCCAAAGTACCTATTTCTTCAGCTCATCGGTATTCAGGCATCTTTTTTTTATTACTCAAAGCTAGTGTTTCACTGTTGCAGATAATGTATAGTTAAAGTTTGATGAGGTTAAAAGGGTCCCACGAGGATGTGTAATTTTCTTTTTATATACTTGTTGAAATAAGTCACTTAAAGATAATGGTAACATCGTTTGTCAGTAATTTGACACCAAAATTCAGATAAAGGGTCTGGTTTTGTTAAATTCAAAGGCAAATCAAACGCAAAAAGAAGTTATAACAATTAAAGTTAGGTCACACAACACTCCACAGACCCAAACCTCCCATGACTTGCAGTAAACAAGTTGCGCTTAAACCGGAATTATGTTCAATCTTCAGTAGCCAAACCCTGAACCCTGCTTTTTTCACGAGTAATTTTTTTTGGCTCTTGGGCTCTGCATCACCAGCTGCCCTATTAGGTGGAGCCATTATCTTGTACAATCCGAAGTATAACTTTGTTCTGTCCAATGTTTTGTGAAAAACATGATCTCAGAATTGTAATTGACGGTTATTCTATATATTGGCTGCACACATTTTCCTTTTACAACAGGCTGATTAAAACACACTCTTATCAAGTTATGGCACAAATTCACTTGAATAGCTAGTTTATTTTATGCACAATGTGTGAGTGAACAGGACAGTTTTCACTTTAGGAACAGACAATTTCTTTATGGTCGTTGGAAAGGGGAAAAAAAATAGGCACATATATCATGAGTTCACTAAATCTGTGTTCACCAGTTCTCTGGCTAAGTCCAAGCTGGTTCTGATTATTAAAATATAGGCAGCTCCTTGTTGCTGTCGTATAAACACAGCCTATCGTTTCTGTTTACATATAAAAGAGAATGGATGTGTACTTTCTACCCTTCAAATCTATTGATAGACAATATAGTTGTCATGACTTAGAATGCAATGAACATTTCAGCAAAATTAGTGAAAAGCATCACAGACCATTTTCATTACCTTTAAAGGTCTTATCAAAGAATTGATCATTTAGTTAGTGGAATCTTTTCATTTCTCCAAAACCATAACTGTTAACATTTTATAGTCTAGCATGGGCTACTATCTATAGCCTTTCATCTGAACAACTTACTTGGCATATATGCACTCTCTTTGAACTGATACTGACAGTGTGAAAATGATTGAAGTTACAAATTTAAGTTATGCCAATACAGATACAAAATAATTTACCACACTTCAACATTGTGGTTAAATGCTGTCTATGGATATACGAACAAAGAACAAGAGTAGGTCACTCGGGCTTTCAAGCGTGCTCTGCCTTTCAATAAGATCGAACTCCCAATAATCTTTCATTCCCTTGATTATCAAAAATATTTCCAACACTGCCTTAAAAATATTTAAAGATTCTGCATCCACATTAGTGAACCAAATAAATTGTACAATCGATGATTATTTCATGGTCATCATTGCTGAAGTTGGTAAGAGAAGATTTAAATAAGGTGTTAAAATCTTAAACAGTTTCGCTAAAATAGCTAAGGAACATCCTAGTCCAGTGCTAGAAGGCTTGGTAACAAGAGGGCACAGACTAAAGGTGACCCATATATTTTAAAATTTAATTTTGAATCTTTTGCTGCTGGGTTTGTTTGTTTGTTATCAGCAGGTTGTATAGTTTGGAAAATTCAGTCTTACTTTAAGTCCGCCATGAAGGAGCAGAACAAAAATGGGATAGTTTAAAATGCTAGGCCTGCCAGATTGCAAAAAGCATAAAACAATGTGATTGGAAATTAAATGTTAATATCTTACAGCAAGAACAGATACTTGCATAAGAAGCTCAAAAATGATTTCAAATGTCAATCCTAAAAAAGTATTTTGCTAGTTATAAAGTCATCCTACAGGGAAACAGGCCCTTCGGACTAACTTGTCCATGCTGACCAGGTTTCCTAAACTGAACTAGTCCCATTTGCCTGCATTTGGCTCATATCCCTCTAAACATTTCCTATCAGTGTACCTGTTCAAATGTCTTTTAAATGTTGTAATTGTAAATCTTTCCCGCTTCAATTTAAACCTATGCCTCTGGTTTTGAACTCTGCTGCCCTGGGGAAAAGACCTTGATTATTCCACCGTATCTATGCCCCTCATGATTTTATAAACCAACAAAAAGTCACGTCTTAGCTTCTTATGCTCCAGGGAAAAAAGTCCTAGCCTATCTAGCCTCTCCTTAGAACTCAAACGTTCCAGTATCGGTAACATCTTTGTAAATCTTTTTTGCACCCTTTCCTGTTTAATAACATCCTTCCTGTAACAGGGTGACCAGAATTGTATGCAGTACTCCACAAAACTGGCCTCACCCATGTCTTGTACAGCTGTAATATGATGTCCCAACCCCTGTACACAGTGCTCTAATGATGAAGACAAGCATGCCACCTTCGCCACCCTCTCTACCTGTGATGCCACTTTCAAGGAACTATGTACCTTCACCCCTAGGTCTCTCTGTTCGACAACACTTCCCAGGTCCCTACCACTAACTGCATCAGTCCTGCTCTGTTTTGTCTGACGAAAATGCAACACCTTGCAATTTTCTGAATTAAACTCCATCTGCCATTCTTTGGCCCACTGGCCCAGTGATCAAGGTCCCATTGTACCCTGAGATAACCATCTTCACTGTCCACTATACCATGAATTTTAGCATCATTCGCAGTTTTACTAATTATGCCTCCTGCATTCACATCCAAATCGTTTATATAAAATGGCAAACAACGGTGGTCTCAGCACCAATTGTTGCAGCACACCACTGGTCATGGGCGTCCAGTCTTAACAACAAAAACCTCTACAATCACCCTCTGTCTTCTGCTGTCAAGCCAATTTTTGTAGGCTAGCTCTCCCTGAATTCCATGTGATCTAACCTTGTTAACCAGTCCACTGTTGAAGAATATGCTAAAGTCCATATAGACAACGTCTACCACTCTGCCTTCATCTATCTTCTTGGTCACTTGCAAAAAAATTCACTCAAATTTGAGAGACATGATTTTCCACACACAACGACTTGCTGATATCCCTCATCAGTACTTGGTTCTTACCTACATCAGGATGAAATAGGATGCCAACATTGTGAACACTCTGGTTCAATTTGAAGCAGTGGTCAAAGAAAAGGAGGATGTAAATAATGATGGGAATTGGGAAGGAGAGTTGTGTTGTCAGCAGTTTAATGTGAACAGTGTCAAGAAAACTGAAGGTAGCTTCCATAATAAAAATAACTTGAAGCATGAAATGACGTGAGGGAAACTGGAAACAGATCTATGTGCTGGGCTGACGCAGGCAGGAGCTTTGGGAGAAACTTGGCTGGGCGGGCAAGACTAAAGGAGGAACTTGGTAAAGGCAAAAGTGCTTGCAAGTTTAGGAGTTGAGTGTGGTGGGTACATGGAAGAGAGGTTTATGGAGACGATTGTAAGCGGAGAGAAAATGGCTGTAGTTGTCTTTTCATCACACAGTGACCCTGGAGTATTGAACAGTTTTGAAAGAAGACAGCAGGAGCCGAGTGCATGATATGGGCTAACTAGATTTAACAGTCAATGGGTAAATTTGGTATATGGCAGACATTTTCACATCTATAATATTTATAAATGAATTAATAAAGATAGAATTAAGTTGCTAAGTGGAGAAATGCAGACAACTTTCCCCTGTCTGTACTTGCACAAAAGAGCAGGCAGATTTAACAAGGAAAGAGATTTGAGAGTTATATTTGAGGTCAGAGAAGATAGCGAGACCGGGAAGATGTTGATTGACCTAAAGTTACACCATCAAATGCAAGAAGCAGGAACTGTTTCTAGAACGGAATAAAAAATACTTTAGGGAAAAGCAAAATATGAAAAGCTATCTAGATGTGTTGACTCACTAATTAGATTGAAGCATTGATTCTATACACTTTGAAGGACGTTCATGATGATAGAGTGGATTCAGCCGCAAAAATAATGGCTTTGTTAAATAAGGAGTCACTTCATCTGACGAAGGAGCAGCAATCCGAAAGCTTGTGATTTCAAATAATCCTGTTGGACTATAACCTGGTGTTGTGTGACTTCTGACTTTGTACATCCCAGTCCAACTAGCACCTTGATCTTATAAATAAGGAATGGAAGAGGTAGTTAAAAGGGAAACATTTTAAAAGTATACATGTTTTGGTATGGAAGATAAGATTGATTTGGACTCATATTGCAGGTTGAACTACAGTTGCAGGATGAGGACTGTAGGTAAAAACTGGGAAAATACATCTTTTAGGATTGCTGTTTGGAAGCATTTCTTCATGAGGAGTATTAAGTGGCTTTCCAGGTGTAATAAGAATCCAGAAGTCTGAATTTGTTATCGGCAGTTCAGTGTTGTGATGGGAGAGCCATGGATTTGTTTTGGAAAGAGGGCCTATTATTTGTACTTGACCTCTGAGATTATGTGAAGGTGAAATGCCTCAAGGTTAATAGATCTATTCTGAAACTGATGGGATCAAATTATTGGAACCAATACTTTTTAAAATTTTCAATAATGAGATTTTTCTCACGTATAAAATAAACTTTAATTATATTAAATGTTCTGTCAAGCATTTTAATATAAAGAAGAAATTTTGGAAATCAGAAAAGTTCAATTAAACTGGTGGTGTAGTAAACTGAGGACAAAAATAAGGACTGAAGATCTTGTAAGCGTTCTGCGCAGATAAGGATCAGTAATTGTAACGGACTGAAGGAAATTAAATTTAAATGTCTATGAAGATTTAACACAATTCAGTTGAACTTTCTGAAGTGAAGCATTGCACTGCTTATTTCCTTTATAGTTTTACATTTGCAAATATAAAGGTTTCCACTGTCTGCACTATTTTTTGTCTATTAATAATAGACATTAATAATAATAAAACTTAAACATGAGTAGGTAGTTGAATTACTGATTCCATGTGAATATTGATTATATACAGCCCTCTTTTGAGGAGTGACTTCACATTCTCTGGTGGACGATTGCAGGAATGTGACCTAGGTAAGGTACTTGATCAGCTAAGTTCAGCCTGTTGTTGAATGCTTTATTCACTTGGCAGCATCTTGGCTCCTCTTCTTCTGCTTAGAACAAGTTGTATTTTTTTAAAACATTGAGAATGACTAGTCTTATTGTCTTTTTATGCCTCTACGATTGCTTGTTTTTGATGTGTGACGTTTTAGTTGAAGTATGATGCACAGATTGTGGCAGGTATTCTCCAAAGCTTTATGTAAGTAGGTTAAAACGTGAACAGGCTATCAACAGTAATGCTACAACTGTTAGAAAATGCACATATCGTCTCATGGTTTGCCTTTTCAAAAAGGAACCATTCTTGAGTTTCAAGTTAAAAAAGCATTGAGGAATCATCATGTACCACTTCGTTATATCTATATGTCATTATTATGGATTCATTTGATTTTCTCCGTTTATTGAATTATGTACTTTCTTTGTTAGTGCCAGACCTAACCAAGCCTCAGGATCATCCACTGATAAGATGTTTGAGGACTGGCTCAATGATGATAATTCCTATCAAAGGTAAAATTTTTAAATTTATTTCAAGGATCTGTGTATTTTGTTTCCTTTTGCTGTTCTTGTTTTCAGTTGAAGGAGTGATGATTAATTTCCTTTCATTCTTTGAAGTGGTGGAGGATATGGTAGTCAGGATAATCGTTACGTTGGATTTGGAAACAGTCCATCTCCTCAGAAAAAGGAAGATGATTTTCTCAACAGTGCCATGACTTCTCTTTATTCGGTATGAAATTATCTTGGATTTATTGTAGTTATGATTTTACTCCAGAACTCTCATGGGAGACCTTTTTTTTTGGACTGCTAGTTAATACCTAATTTTAATTATGCGTGACCACCAAGTGACACTGTTTTCAAATAAATTTTATCTTGTGATAAAGATTTGGGAGTAACCTTGTACCTGTTATCTGAACTCTGTACTCATAGTACGAATTAGTTAACTCTGTTTATTGAAGAAAATTGATTTTATGCTGGCCTTAACAACCTACCCCGAGATTTAAGATTTTTGTGCTGTGTATTGACTTTCAAATAAAGTGTTGTAATGTTCTTTGAATAGTCAATCAATGTAAAAATACAGTTACATTAGCATCACAAATATTTTTTATGATAATGTGACAATTTCCGACCGGTAGCTGGAAATTACAGCAATACTGTTTAGGAATTGTAGTTTTAAGAACGTACAGGACTAATTGTTTAAATGTCATTCTTACCTCAGGCTTGCTTATGACAGTTAGATTTTCTAGTCTTAAGAGGCCGAGATGCTTAACTGTATAATATGTTCTGCTTTATAAGATATTCTAATTTGCACTAAGCAAGAATTAGCTTTATTGTCACATTCACATGAGTACAGTGAAAAGTTTACAAGTTACGACTTACAGCTCCATAACCAAGGTACCTACGTACAGATTCTTAAATACAAATTGTTAGGGAAAAACAAAAAATAAAGAAATAGAAAATCTAGTAATAAATTAGAGAAATATGAGTTCAGAATAACAGTCCTTCCACCGTAGACCATGCTGGGCTTCACCTCAAGGCTGGAAGTTCAAGTCCACGTTGGCTTTCATCCTGGATATTGCCGATGTTGCCTGAGGATGAGAGGTCAAAAGGAAAATAAAAAAACTGCAAAAAGAGAGAAGAGGAAAGAAACGGACGGAGCAGACGAGCTCCAGCTCAGGAGTCCTACTCTGCTGCCATCTTGGTGACATTTTGGAACAATATCATGTTTAAGAAAGATAAAACTGCCAAAAGCATATTTCAAACTTTGCTCTCGTCAATGAATTATTTTTGAATTGTAGTAATTTTTTTTAAGCAAAAACACTAGTCAGTTTGTGTTTGAACAAATCTATCACAAAGGTAGTGAATGGTCAGTTGTGCTTCAGAACTTCTTTAGTGCTACACCAAAATGTCAGTCTGGACTTTGTGTTCAAGTCTTTCTGGTTTATGAATGTGCTGTCACAGGTCTACTCTAATTTTGACAGATCTGCTAATACATATGCAATATATAGTAAGGATCTCAAGATCAATACCTGGGTTATTTTGCTGCTGACCTTTTTTTTTTAACAATGTAAAGTTTTCACTTTTGATAACCCTATTTTGAGAATCTGAATACTAACTCGAATTTATAGCCATGTATGTAAATGGGTATGTCTAAATCTTCAAAGTTAGCCCGGTGCTCAAGTTTTTGAACTGTGCACATGAATGTATGGAATCTTCTCTAGTAGTTAGTTGCAAACACTGCTTAGCTACTTGACCTATGGTCGGCTTGATTTGGTGGGAAGAGAGGAGAAATATAGTCAATATGATTTAAAAGTTTTAGTTGTGCAAAGCTTCACATGACCAAGTTTCTGAAATATTGTCCATTATTGAACTTGGAAATTCAAATCCATTACAGAAATCAAAATTACTACGTTTAAGATAATTCATAATTGTGAATGACATTAATTAATTTAGGATATATTCACTATTTTACAGGGCTGGAGCAGTTTTACTGTTGGGGCCACTAAGTTTGCATCAGCTGCAAAAGAAGGTGTAAGTAGCATTGTTGCAACTTCTGCTTTTATTAATAATATATAATGTATGTATGCAGTAATGCATATTTGTAAATGATGTTTGCTAAACCTTTCATGTTGTTAATTTAATGGTTGATCTTCAAGAGAGATTCAAAGGCCTAAGTACTTTTTTTTTTAAAAAAGTACAGTGGTTCCATGTACATTTTAGTAAACAGTGTAAAAAGAAAACGAGAGTCAGGCACAAAAACATTCTTTATGTTTGTTAAGATTTTTCTACTGTAGTTTTCTTTTGACAAGTTTGGTTATTAAAGGGGAGCAATGTTTAGAAAAAATTTAGTCTTGAAAAGCACTGAAGATCTATTGGTGAAATTAATCATTATTTTGCTCACCAGGCAGTGAAACTTGGAAGTCAAGCAACACAAAAGGTACCTTTTTGTTTTGAATTCCATGTTGTTTCATATTCTACATGTCAGGTACAGTCATGTAGCTGAGATATTTTTGGTGCTAAAATAACAGACTTTGGCAGAACAATCAAATGAATGGAGTTTAGATTTTCTAATCCAAATTAACCATCTTTTCAAATGCAATTAGTATTTATGGCATTGAATACTTGTTAAATAATCTTGTTTTGGTTTGGGGCAGAGTGGGGATTAGTGATGAGGTGTAGTAGAGGGAACCTATGAATTGCTAAAAAGTGCTTGTTCTGTCCTTGTTGCTTTCTTGCTGGATAAAGGTTTGGGGCTACAAGCAGCAGTCAGAGCCGGTAAAGTGTTCATTTTGCACGCATGACAGCTTGTTTACCAGTGACAGTATTTATTCAATGTGTAGCATTGATATCCTTCTTTTATTTTGATCAAAATCATTTTGATTTTGTGTGATTACTTATATTTTTAGGAACTTGCTTTGAGCCATAAGTTTGTCTGCACTAGTAATGCGTGTTTGTTGAGTATTTTAGAATGCATGATTGGAGTCTTTAAATTATTGCTGAGCAGGAGTTCATCTCTTCCATTTAGCAGTCCAGAAACTATCTGAAGACACCACTAATATTAACATTGTAATGACATCTTGTCTCCATTAATTTTTCTCTCTTGCCTTCAACTTTCTATATTTTATTTCAACTTCATAATGGTAGGTAATAGATAACATAAAAGCTGACAGAAGTAAAGTATTGGACCCAACTAGGATATTGATTTTAAAAAAATGTGCTGGAGAAACTCAGCAGATCTGGTAGCATCTGTAGAAAGAGAAACAGAATTAACATTTCGAGTCTAGTATGATTGAAGAGAGAGGTTGAAAATGTAATGGGTTTTATATTGTAGAAAAAGGCCGGGTGTACCAAGTGGAACAACATCATTTTCAACCTCTCCCTTCAGTTCTGAAGAAGGGTCATCTTGGACTTGAAATGTTAACTCTTTCTTTTTCTCCACAGAAGCTGCTGTGCTTCTGCAGCACTTTGGTTTTATTTCAGACCTCCAGAATCCAGAGTATTTAACTTTTGTTTTACTTATGTCCTTTCTGTCCTGAAGCCAGTGATAGATGCTTTGGGGAGAAATTTGGGTCACAGTATTGTTAGCCATACTTAGTGTTGATTTGGATTCTGAGTTGTGGCGGGCTATTTGACCTAGTCAGACATCAGATCCTTTTCATATCATCACCATGCAAGTAAAGCAGCTCAGTCTCTGCATTGCATTTATGTTTGTTGGTAATCCTTTGTGTTTCAAATCCAACTTTGTATACAAGCAGGAAATCTCACAAACTTGTACAATATGGCCAATAAAACCTTTTAAAATTAAAATATTTCTGTAAACAAAATCATACTAACATTGTTTTCCAGACACACACACAATCTTTCCTGCCGTTGTGGAAGACTTTTATAGCTTTATTATAGCTTTATTACTGATTTAGATAGAAAGCTTCAAAGGTCATAGAGTCTAAGTAATTGTAAAAGTTAATGGCTTACAAATGTGATTACATACTAGTGCAGAAAATTCTCTTCTACAGTGGAAGTTTAGCTAACTGGTCAACAATTTTTTTTTCGAAATAAGTTTGGAGGTTATCCAGTAAAATTTTATTTTGGGCCTTGGAGCTATACTTCTGCTTTGGTGGAAATGGAAAACTGGTGGTTATGAATTGGCCATCTTCCATTCACTCCACTTAACTTTTTTTCCCAGCAGTGTGTGTGGTTGATTTGCTCCTGTCTGTTTTGCATCCCCGTCAAAGTTGAATTTATCTCATTATATTAAAGTTTCTCTGTATTGAAAATGAAACCTTGGACATTATGTCCCATGCCCCACTGGGATTTAAAAACTATTAAATAAGGCAGCATCGATCTCTTTAATAGTTACTTGGGAGAGACCTTTAGAGTTCGAACTCAGCTTAGACTATATGCCTGACTGAATTTAAAAACAGGACTGTGTCCTGCTTGTGTTTCATGCATCAGATAGAATTCACACAATATTGAAATACATGTTTGACTGAAGCCTTGATTGCTGTGTCTTTCGAGCTTGTTTTGTTGACATTGTCCTTGTGTCTTGTCTGCATGTATTGTGGTTCAAGCTGAAGCTGAGGCTTATGTATTCTTGAGCTATTTGCTTCCTCTGTGTTTGAAATAAATCTAATTTCAGTACTGATGAACACTTTTTTCTTGTTTTTAAATAGGCTACAGAGTTAAGTCATACAATTAGTGAGAACGTCATTAAACCTGCTCAGGATAAGGTAATGTAACCCTGCTTGAGGAGCTCAAAATGATTATCAATGTACTAATTTACTTAAAATTTTACTACTTAAGTTTTGGGCAACTATTTTCCTAATCAAACATTTGTGACCTAGTCGGATGTAAGATAATTTGGGCCAGATTTTGCTGCGGGTAAGTGTAGCTAATTGGCCCAGATATTTCAATGACGAGTGTGTCGCTGGACCAGCATAAGTTGGAGTTGTGCATCAGGGCCATGCAGAATGCCTCATGCTGCAACACCATGAGAATTGCCCAGGAAATTGTGTTTTCCAGTGGGCAGTTCTCCTGCTTCTGGACCCCTCTGAAAGAGACCCTAAAATTCGGAGAATTCATAGGGTTCTGATCACTCAAATTTAATTGTTGCACAGAGAATGTTAGAGTATTAAAACCTTCTATAACTCCTGGGTAACTGTTAAACTGGACCCTCCAACTACACTATGGCAAAACCCTCTTGGCCAGCAAGTAAGAAGTTTAAAAAAAATATTATTTAATTTGCAATGCCTGAGAAATTGATTTCTGGTGATTAAAGTGCATGACTAAAATTGTATCTTTTTAATTACTAATCCTGAATATTTGCAATTAGTTTAATTTGTGGCCACTCTGCAAATATCAGCAGCCTCTCATCATTCAATGCATGCCAGTAGTGAAATTCCAAGTTTTTCACAGCCAGTGCAGTTGCTGTTGCAATGTAGGAAACAAAGCTGCCACTTTGCATACCCAAAGCTCTTCCAAACAACAAGATGATAATGACCAGATAATCTGCTTTTGTGATGCAGATTGAGGGTTAAATACTGGCCTGGATACTGAGGATAGCTCTTCTGCTCTTCTCAGAAATAGTATCATGGAAACTTTTATGCTCAACTGGAGGGGCAGACAGGACCTCAGTGAATTGTCTACCCAAAAGGTAACACGTCCAGAAATGCAACGCTCCCTGAATACAGCACTCTCGATTTTTGTGGTAGCCGTGATGTGGAGGTGCCGGTGTTGGACTGGGATGGACAGTCAGAAGTCACATGACACCAGGTTTTAGTCCAACAGGTTTATTTGAAATCACAAACTTTCGAAGCACTGCTCCTTCGTCAGGTGAAGTCTTCTCCTTCATCAGTTCACCACCAAAACCTTGTGATTTCAAATAAACCTGTCTGACTATAACTTTGTGTCTTGTGACTCCTGACTCGATTTTTGTGCTCAAACTATGAATGGGGTGTAAATCTAAATCCAAATCCTGCTGAGGAGGTGAGAGTGCTACTAACTGAGGTGTGGCTGTGAATATTTGCTTTTAATTGTACATCTGTCTTTCACCTGAAATTGATGTGCCATTTACCCATAAACAACAGGGATATCTTTACAGTAAAATCTGACCCACTTTTTGCATTGAAATGGTGCAGATTACTTCTGTCCGTTTTACACTTTATTACTTATTAGCCGTAAAGTATTTTTCATTTATTGGTTAGAGTATTGGATTTTAGAGAATCTTCAAACATTTTGTCCTGATAAACTACTTTACTTCAGAACTTCTTATGTGAGATTACCTATAATTATAATTGTTTGTTATTTAAATTAATTAAACCAGCTGCAAAAAAAATTGCTTTTAATATTTATCTCTGTGGTATTTTTGTTTGAGCAATCTTGGCATTTGTATTCTGTTTAATTAAATTTTGAAGCCTCATTCCATGCCACTGGTGCATGTTTTTCTCCCATAAGAATACTACTTGAAACTACAAGTAATACTTCTTCCACAAATAATGGACTCGACTTTTCTTTATGCTTGTGTGCAAGTACCTGTTGATTTAATTTCAGATGAATTTGTATAGTTCTGTTGATGCTTAATTGCACAATTTTTTGTCATCGTACTCCTTTGGCAATTAGTCTTTTAATATTCTGTATATATATTAGAATGCACATTCGAAACAGTCTATTTGACTGGTCAGTTGGTGCTGTTTCCACTTCTTTCACATCTTTCCTATAATGGGATGTCAGAAATTGTGCGCAGGGTTCCAAGTGGCCTAATGGAAGTCTTAATGTTCACATTCAACATTTTTTCATCATTACTACATTCTGTGCCTCTACATACAACAACAAAAACTATATTTTAAATTGGCTTTTGTTTTGCTTTGCCACCTGGGATGTGTGTGTAGACATGACCCTCTTCCATTCCTCTACAATTAAAATCTTACTAGTTAAAATTTATATTTTTTCCACTTCTGATTCCAAAAGCTAATACTTTTGACACTTTCCATACTGAACTGTATCTGCTTGTTCTGCTTTATGTACTGTTCCAGTCTTGATGATGCTTTTCTTCATTTGCCACATCCTCTTGTCCACACATTAGAATAAACAATTTTCATTCTGCCTTTGAGTAAGTTTTTATACACGTACAAAATATACAGGTTAATACTGATCCCAGCATATCTCTTCATTTCAAAGACCTTTGTTTTATCCTTTGCAATCTGCCCTCAAGAATGTCTCTGTCCCTTTGGCCATATTTCCCTTAATTTGATGTGCCATTATCTTTGTCATGAATCTTTTATGTGGTACCTTATCAAATGTTATTGTGGACTGCTTCAAGTCCAAATGGTGTCATAGTATTACTTAGTAAGCTGTCTGTTAAAATTGTTCCAGTCTATAGACAGGAAGCATGGAAATCACATTGCTGGCTGATTACATTAACTGTATGTTTGGTGGCCATTCACCTTTAGTATCAGTGGCCATGGAAACCAAAACAGATTTTGGGTGGTGTGTGGCTTCTGGAGTTGTATATCTCTGGTAACAACTGCCTCCAGTTAGCATTCTGTGAACGGAGAGGTGAAGTAGCTATTTCAGCTTAACATTTGTGCTATTGGTAACATCTGATGTAGCTAATAACTTCCTTTTTGCTCTTCATTACCTAAAGATTTAATGTGCCTTTCTTTGGAAAGGAAGAACAAGTGTTATTGTTGAGAGCATTTTAACTTTCTGTACTCTGCCTGAAAGCACGGACTTAAAGTAGGAAGCAATTCCATAGCTGTTTCTGACTTTCTAACATCTTTCCCAAGTGGTTGTTCTTTTAAGTCTTGTATCCCAGTTGAGACAAATACAGCTAATGAACTGTTCAACTGTGGAAACTGAAGAAAGCCTGATCATTCGTCCTCTCTCTACCACCACGTCTATATTCATATGTTACGCTTTGAAAGTTTTAAGTGTAACAATTGACAATTAAAGATGTATATTAGTTTGTTAAAAATGTTATTCTTTAATAGCAGCTTTATTTTGTCTCCCTCTGGTCTTTAGATATCACTCCACCATTAACGGGCATTGTTAGCTACTAAAACCCATGCTTTAAAATATCTTGCTGACTTATGCTACCTTTCCTCTTCAGAGCTCATTTATATGGTCAGACATTTGACACATACTGTTTGGTGCGATGTCCATTTTTTTTTCTGATGACATCTTGTTCATTATTATTTCTTAAAATCTCTATAGATAGTTTTATTATATTCCGACATCTACCATCTTCTAGAGAAGGTCTGGAAAAATGGCCTCTTTTCTGTCTATTTTTCATCAATAGAAATATTCCAGTCATGTGTTCTGTAAATTGCTGTATAATTTGCAAAACTGCACTTATTTTTAACTGTAGGCATTTTTTATATATGCAGGTGAAAGATGGGAAATTTTTAGATGATGTATCCAGTGGTGTGTCGCACATTGCTAATAAGGTATGAAGAAAGATGCAGCTGGTCATGTCTCAAAGCCAGCCTTCATATTCTGTGCAACAGATACTAGAACAGATTAAAAGCTGTATTCTTGGGGGGGAAAATTGTTCAGTGCCTTACTGGATCAGTATAAAAGTAGATTTTATAGGATGGTAAAAAAATCACCAAGTTCTCAAAATCACAGCTATCAGTTGGGCTGGGAAACTCACCAACAGAATAGAAACTAAAAAGATTTCATTTGAAACTGCATTAGATTGCCTTTATACCATAATTGTAATCTGGATCTCAACTCTGTTTTGTAAATGTGGACTGAGGCCAACCTAGCTCCAAAGTGAAATAAATTGAGACTCTCTCTGGACTTGCACTGTACATTTAACATAACTGCTAAGCAAAATTAATTTACATTACAATTCACATCAGAATTGTATGTAAATGCTGTCTTGGCTGCACAGTTGGCAGATATGGAGTCTGGCTTAGCATGGTCAGGCAAACCTTTTTGATTTGGTACTAATTTTGTGTTTTCCTCCTTTTTGCTATCGATGATAATTGATGTGGTGAGTGTCGATATGAAAAAGTGATTTATTTATTAAAATTACGGAGAGAACCAGTACATAGTTTTGAAGTTTGGTACTGAGGAAGAGAGTTATGATTCAAGTTGTAGCTATCCTTAAAATATGTGTGGTTCTGAAAATATGTTCTTATTTTAATATTTGATTTTAATATTATATATTAAATGAAATTTAGATATCCTGTTGATAGCATCAGTGATCAAATACTCAATTCATTAGAATGTTATATGACCCTCCCCAACTTGGTATGTCGGAAAAGGTTTAAATTGGTTAAAGCCTGACTACTTCTACTTTTACTGAGCATCATATGATAATGTTAACATTAATGTGAGGAACTGTATTTTCTAGGTTTAAGTAATAGACTAAGGGCTGATCATAAAGTATCAATTTTCTTGTGTTGTGCACATAATTAAACATTGTTTTAGATTTGCTGTGGAAGATGTTTCAGCATTTTTATTAACATTCATAGGTGCAGGGAGCGACTGTTAAAGGATGGCAAGATGTTAGTTCATTCTTTACCAATAAGGATTCTGAAACAGCTGGTGTTGAAAGGTAATGTGCAACTAAACACACCAAATTTAAATAAAGCCATCACATTTGTAGAACTCGATGGTTTAATTAATTATTATGTATCCAGAAATAACAAGTTTAGTACATTAATAGAATTATGTTTTCTTCAATTCTTTGGACAATTATGCCTATGCTCCAGATAAAAACTATTAGAACTGTTTTAGTGCATGCCCACAAGTGTGGTGCTGTCTCCTTCTACTGAAGATTTGCCCTCTCCATGTACTTATTAATTGACTTGATATTTTGGAGATTCCAATGTATGCAATATTCTTCACTCAGAAGTTTTAGGTATGCCACTGTGATGTTGTGTGCATTTATGGTAAAATTGCAGTTTGTGTAAGATTTTCTTCGAACTAGTAATAAATTAGCTTTGTGTTCTCCCACTTGAGGATTTTTTTTTTAGAAAAGCATGGAAATATCTTTGCCATTTTGGGGTCATGAGATAAAGGGTTTTATGGTTTTTATGTTTACACTGATGCTTTATGTCGTTTGATGTAATCTCAGAGGGCATCCAAGTTTGTAACTGGTCCTAAAGCTATCCTGTTCTATTTCAGAGGTAGGGCTATGGGACAGATATGATACCATCACTGAATTAGGTGAATCTTTGAACTGTTATAGACCTTTATTGGGATGTTGATTTGCAGCCTTTCAAATGCAATATTACAACTGTGCTAAAATACTCTTTTGCATGCGATTTCTACTGTGTAAGCCAGAAAACTGTGAAATTTGTAACATTTAGGGTACACAGAGTTCCAAGGGATTGCTACATTTGAGTTTCAATGGATGCTGAATTCAGTTCTGCCAAGGAACAAGGGCTGATCTTATTGCAAGGCTTTCAATAGGTCACACAAAACTGTTCATGGATTGCTGAAGAATACCTCAAGTGTCAGAGGTATTTGGAGAGGGAGACTCTTGCAGCTTTCATTGCAGAAAAGTTGTGCTGTTGAGAAGATCGTCAATTCTGTGCACCTGAAGCTCAAAGATGTTCCAAGCATACGTAGATGGCTCTGTGCACTTGGGACTCCTGGATGTTCTAGGATCCAACAGGTCTAATTAAGTGTTGGAGTTAGGGGTGAGGTAAATCCTGGAATATTTTTGCGGGGGCCACTGGGGACAATGGAGAATTCAGCAGCAGTAGTATTGCTGGCTTGGTGAAGCTAGCTGTCCATGAAAAGCTGGAATTGTGCCTGAGAGTAAGTCTTGGAATGCAGTTTCCAAAATCCCAGGAAGTATAGACCCAGGAATAGCAGGCGGACTATCCGAATATGAGTACTTGTTGAGGAATTCAATGACCGAATGGCTTTCGAGGGAGCATCTGAAATTAGGTCTTTGAAAGAGAAGAATTGGAAACCCTTGTTAAGTTTCAACGTGATTTTGATGTCCCGTGATGTCACTAATATTAGGCTGGCCAAGTGGGATCTGTCTTGACGACATTTGATATTCGATATGTTGTATAGAGTTTTTTTCAATCAGGTTTGTCTGTTATTTATAATTATCTCAGGGTTATTCTAATTGGATGCTAGAATGTAAATTGTACATTGTATCACTGTTCAAACTTTTTGTATAGTAAAGTTTATCATTCTTTGTTCAAAACTGTGGAATCTTGTGACTTTATACACGTAAGAAGTGACCTGGGATCTGTCAACTTAAAAATGATTACTGGTCCCAAGCCAGATCGTAACATTAAATTCAGTGGTCTCATCTGTCAGCGTAAAAGCACGTATACTATCTCATGCATACATTGAAAATCTCGTATAAGGCCCAGCTTGCATTACAAATTATTTTTCAAATACCTGATCACTCTGAAGTCTGTTATATTTTCTATACTACAGCCACCCGGTTGGAGAAAGTTATCAGAACAGTGGACTTGAAGATGGTTTCTGGGAAAATTTTGATCAGGATGACAAATCCAAGATGAAGATGCCATCACATGCTGGTGCTTGGGGATCAGGTGAAAAAAATAATGACACGTGGGGCACAGAGAACAACATGAAAAAGCAAGCAAACCATAGCAATGCCTGGGACAGTTGGGATGATAATTGGGCCGCGGGTGGGGAAAGCAAGAATAAAAAGTCACCGAAGAAAGAAAGTGAAGGAACTATGGATGATGGATGGGACAATCAAAATTGGTAGCTTGGGAAAGTGCCTCAATTTGAATGGATCTGCATTTCAATTTTCATTTCTTTGCTTCATTGCGGTCATAAATCAGTTTCTATTCCTGTCTATAAAGAATCAATGTCTTACAAATCTATTTTGCATTTCAGAGACTAGTTACATGCATATTTCACCAACAAAAGGAGACTTTACAATGAACCATCAGTATTGTAACCAGAACATTGTCCTTTTGCATACTTTGAGTTCAAATGTACCATTTTCCTACTAAATACATTGACATTTTTCTATTTAAGATGATATAATTTCTCCATTAATTTGCCACAATTTTTGTTTGCACACAAACATTCATTAGAAATCTGCAGGGTATCAAGGAGAAAAATGTAAAGTTAAATAGTGCAGTGTTTATTTTAGCTCAGGTTTTCTTTCAAAAACACAGCAAGCATAGCATTTACTGCATGTTCTATATCGTGTCTGTCTTCAGCTTTTACGTGCAATTGTACAGAGCAGATGGCACTTGCAAATTCATGCTTGGTGTTTTCAGTGCGAATATTACAGTTTTTCCCTAGATGATTGAAATAAGACTATAGATGATTAATTTGACTGATCTATTCCAATCATAATTGTTTACTAACTCTTCTCCTTCTCCATTTTACCTGCCTTATAAATAACTATATAATCTCGAAGTTGCTCTTTCTGGTATTCACAAACAAATACCCATTATATTTCTTCAACATTGTCATCTACTGTCTTAACAATTAACACTTATTAACATCAATCGGTTACCACCACTAAAATAGTAGATGAAGGAATAAATGAGTCTATTAGATATTCATTTGGGACTGAGAGTATTCCGTTATCCAAATTTTAAAAAATTTGGATAATTTTTACTGGTGTTTGGCATCAAACTAGAACAGAAATTTTCTCCAGTCTAAATGTACGACTTGAAATAAAAGTCTGTTTTTTTTGTTTAATGTTCAGAAATGAAATCCTTCATCAGATTTAACTTTTCTAAAGTATTAGATTTAGAAGTGCAGTGACATTTCTTGTCTGGTCTGCTGCTGCCTCCAAAACCCACCCCCAAACATTCCAGTTGCATATAGTGTGGATATAGTATGGATAAGTGATCTTTCAGTATTGGATTTTTTTGATGAAATCTGTGCAATATTTTTCAGCATGAAAACAAGCTAGTGTATTCTCATCCTGTAGCTTGGGATTATTGAGCTTTTATGCCCTAAAAGCTAACATGGAAGATTGCTGACATGAATGAACATCTACAAATTCTGTATAGCAACTTGTGTTGCTAATTATTTTGCACCCATTTTTGAGTGTGATTGCTTATTTTTTGATGTATGACAATAAAGCAGGTGAAAACGGTTGCGTCTTTTTGCTTAATTGCATGAGAAGAGCTACTTACATTCCAGTTTACTTTAAAACGTCATTCTATAATTGAAACTTTGCACTTTGACATTCTGACAGAATTTCAATATAAGAGTGAACATCAGGATCAGCCATGATCTCTTGAATGGCAGAGCAGCCTTGAAGGGCCGCATGACCTACTCCTTTTCCTGTTTCTTATGGTTTAACAGGAGTGATATTCCTTGAGGTCTGATCAACATTTATCTCTCACTCACTATCACAGGAACAGACTTTATGGTTGTCATCATATTGCTATTTGTGGGAGCTTGTGTGCATATTTGATGTAACAATTCCTATGTTACAGCATTGACTACAGTTCTCCATTGGCTACAAATTCTTTGGAGCATCGGTAGTCATCAAAAGCACTATATAAATGCAATTCCTTTTTATTAACATTAAACAACTTTCAAAACTAATTGAAGATCTTGATTCATTGTTGAAACTCATTGTCTGTCTTTTCTATAACTCTTCTGGTTTGTTCAGTTCCATTTAAGATCTCCCAGTTGGGCCTAACCCCAAACATTTAACATTTTTAACAGAAGATCAATGGATGATAATTTATTCTTCATATACATTTAGTCATGATGAGATCTTGACCTTTCTCACAATTGTGCACATTATCCAGAATGTTCTTTTCTGTACTTTAAAAATGACCCTTGCAGCCCTTCAGGGTCACTATACTGCATTGTATGCTTTGTAGTAGAGAACCTATTTCCAGCCCTCTACTATTGTCAGTCTTTAATTGGTCAATAGGTGGTGCACTTTTTCCAAATCATTTTTTCTTCAATGTAAATAAATAAAAGTTATCCGCCAAAACCTGTACTTTACATAATGACTTTTGGTATGGTGAGGACTGGAATCCGGTGTGTGAAGATTCTTCAAAGTGAATGTATTCTGTCATTCTGTAGTACAAATATTGGGCACTTTCTGATTCAAGTTATATTTTTGTATTGTCTGCTTGTAAGTATGGTGCACACTTTTTTAACTTTATGGGGTATTGAAAGTGACCTTTGCTCAGCCCTCTACCCAATAATATTTCTGTTCCTTTAATAGCCTCAGAGTTAACAATTGCCAAACTTTTTCTTCTAAAACTGAATAGGATGGTTTCTATTCAGTATATGTTAGATTTATTAACTTAATTATTATTATTCACTTTCCAAGTTCATGGTTATGAAATTTCCAAAGCCTTGAGCGAGGAATGTTTTTCAAAGTGGCAATGACTCCTGTCTTTGAGCTTCCCAGAAAATCTGATCTTTAATTCTATCTGAGTTGCACAGCCAGCAACCTGTATAACACTGGAAATATAAACTGCATTGCATTGGTGTTGGCTCAGGCAGCTGTGTGTGGCATGAGCTTTATCCAGTGATGAATGCTGATGCGTGAGAAAGATTACTTGAGGAAAGATATTTCATTAGATGCAGTTCAGAGAAGGTTCACTAGGATGATGCCCAGTATGGAGAGATTGTCTTTTGAACAAAAGCTAAACAGGTTGAAACTCTACACTGGAGTTTAGAAGAATGCAAGGTGATCTCAGTGAAAGATATAGGATTCTTAAGAGGCTTAACAGGGTAAATGCTAAGAATATTTTTCACCCATCATGAGGAGGTCTGGGACCAGAGAGCATAGTCTGGGAACAAAGTGGTGCCAATTTAAGATGCAAATGAGAAATTTCTTTGAGGTTTGATCCTTTGAAGCTCCCTGCCACAGACAGCTGTGGGGACAGAGTCATCATGTATATTTGAGGCTGAGGCAGATTGTTGATCAGTATGGAAATCAAGGGTTATGGGATGGAAAAGCAGAAAAGTGGATGCGAGGAATGTTGGATCAACCATTATAGCCATAATCCTATTGAATGGTGGAGCAGGTTCGAGGGGCCGAATGACCTATTCCTCTTCCTGTTCCTTATGATCTAAGTATGAAAGGACTCAACTGGCATATGCAAAAAAAAATTAATCAAGAACCAGAAAGTAAACTGGTATTTCTGCGTACAGGTGCTTTTGGTTTAGATTATTTCTTGCACGTTACTTTCATGTAAATCTCAATTTTCCTGTATCAAGCACAGAGTTTACTAGAGCAGCAAGTCTCCCCTAATACCCATCAGCTGATCTGTCAGAGTGAACATAAAACATAGAACAGGACAACACAGGAATAGGCCCTTGGGCCCACAATGTCTGTGCCAACCATGATGCCATTCCAACCTAATTGCACTGCCTGCACATGGTCCATATACCTCTATGCCATGCCTGCTCTTGTTTCTAGATGCTCTTAAACAGTGCTATTGCATCTGCTTCTACCACCTCCCCTGGTTGCGCATTCCAGGCACCTACCACCCTCTGTAAAAATAACTTACTTCACATGGCGTGGCTCCTGATTGGCTGGAATTTTGGCACTGGCCTTTTACAATGTGTGGTTTTATGGAGACTGCTTTTTGTGCCTTCAACTTTTAGTCCTGTGGTGGATAGGTATTTTTTCTTGATTTTGTGTTTTGTTTTTATTCATACTGCTGGAGAAGGTGGGCAAGGAGTACATTTATTTGATTAGAGAACAAGTGAATTAGTAGATGTGAAGCTATACATTTAAGAGGAGAGAACTAAGTTTTCTCTATTTTTTCCCTCTCAGCCCCCTTTTGTTTTTCTTCTATTTCCATTTGACTACTTGGGAAAATAGGTACAGAAAGGCAGCAACTAAAAAAACGTTGATATTTAGAAAGATGTGGCTGTTCTCCTGCAAGGAACGAAGGTATCTTTTATTTTTGTAAGCAATTAGGAAAACAAATGCAATATTGGCCTTCAATGCAAGAAAATTGGAATACAAGAATGAAGAAATCTTGCTTCAGTTGTTCAGGGCTGTGGTGACATTGAAAGTACTTTGCGCAGTCTTTTGTCTCCTTGTTTAAGGAAGGGTATACCTGCATTGGAGACAGTATAACACAGATTTACCAAAGTGGTTCTTGGGGTCAAGAACGTGAGGATGCAGTCACATTGTTGATTTGTAGTTGAGATAGACTTCTTGGATCTTGAAGAATCACATAGCGTGGGGACAGTTATGTGAGTTGACGCTGAGGATCAGATCAGCCATAATCTCATTGAATGGTGGAGCTCAGATAACCACAACTCTTGCTCCTGGTTGTGTTTCAGCATTTTCTGGTTTGTCCTCCGTTTCCCAGCTTTTGCAGTTAATGTTTTGGAATGGATTTTATTACCACTAGATGGCACTTCAATCAGTGAGTAGCATTTTCATGAAAGGGAAATAACAAATTCACCACTACCTGTCATTTACTTGAGACACATGTTCAAATGACTGATAGATAAATTTGCAGTTAAATATTTATTGAAATGTAATGTATTGGATTGACCTGTATTCATTTAAAGTTGAGTAGCAATGATTATAACGGTGTTCATTAGGTGTGCTTGGATAGGTCCTACATAAATTTAATAATACACATGGCTCCTGGCCTTTCACTTAGATCAGGGCTGGGTTGATGACTTCAACTCCACTTTCCTGCCTTTTCCTCTTGATTCCCTTTCTGATTAAACATTTGTCTATCTCAGCTTTGAATATACTTAATGACCCAACTTCTACAGTTCTTTGTGGTAAATAATTCCATAGAATTGCTACCCTCAGAAGAAATTTCTCCTCACGTCTGTCTTAAATGTGTGATCCCTTATTTTGAAGTTATGCCCTCTGGTCCTCGACTCTGAGTTTGAGTTTTTGTCACATATTCCGAGGTACAGTGAAAAGTGTTGTTTTGCATGTTATATATGCAGATCGTACTATGCAACGTGCATGAGGGTAGCAGACAGTGTAGAATATAATGTTACTGCCTCAGAGAACGTGCAGAGAGAGAGAGAGATCAGAGTTAACTTGAGATATCCATTCAAAAGTCTTAACAGTGGGGAAGAAAGTGTTCTTGAATCTGTTTGTACGTGTATTTAAACTTTTGTATCTTCTGCCAGACGAAAGAGAGTGGAAGAGAGTATAGCTGGGATGGGAGAGGTCTTTGATTATATTGCTTGCTTTCCCGAGGCAGCGGGAAGGATAGATGGAGTCAATGGATGGAAGACTGGTTTGCATACTGGACTGGGGCGTATTCACAACTCTCTGTTGTTTCTTGTGATCTTGGGAAGAGCAGTTATCATACCACACTGTGATGCATCTACATAGGATGCTTTCTGTGGTGTATCTATAAAAATTGATAGGAGTTCTTGTGGTCATGCTGAATTCCCTTATCGCCCTAAGGAAGTAGATACATTGTTGTGCTTTCTTGACTGTTATATGATTGTGTGTGGACCAGGACAGATTGTTGGTAATCATCACTCCCAGAACTTGACACTCAACCATCTCTACCTCAGCACCATTGATGCAGACGGGGGTGTGGCCTCTACTCTGATTCCTGAAGTCAATGACCAGCTCCTTCGTTTTGCTGATGTTAACAGAGAGCTTGTTCTCTTTACACCATGCACTCAATCTTTTTCTTGTATTGTATCTCGTCATTGTTCGAGATCCAATCTACAATGGTAATGTTGTCAGCAAACTTGTAAATGGAGTCAGAGCAGAATTTGCCCACAGTCATGAGTATATAAGGAGTACAGTAGGAGGCTGAGTAAGCAGCCTTATGGGACACCAGTGTTGAGGATTATGTTGGAGGAGATGTTATCGCCTATTCTTCCTGATTGTGGTCTATGGGTCAGGAAGTTGAGGATCCGGTTACAGAGGGGCGAGCCAAGACCTAGGTTTCGGAGTTTAAAGATGAGTTTGTTTGGAATTATGATGTTGAAGGCAGAGCTGTAGGTAATAAGTAAGAGCCTAACATAGGTATCCTTGTTATCCACATGTTTAAGGGATGAGTGTAGGGCTGGGGCAACGGTATCTGCTGTAGACCTGTTGCACCGGTAGGCAAATTGAAAAGGATCAAGGCAGTTTGGTCGGCTGGAGTTGATGCGAGCCATGACTAACCC